TTCCCCTCCCCCTTTTCTGATGAAGGGTCTAGGCCCGAAACGTCAGCAAAGTAATTAGGATTGGCTCACCGGTTTTCCATGATGTTAACTGAGGGATAAATGCTGGCCAGAACACTAGCCTTCTTTCAAATAGTGGGATCTCTTCTATCCACCTGAGCAGATAGGTGAGGCCTCAGTTTACTGCTCCATTTAAAAAAACAACACTTCCACCACTGCAGCACCCCATCAGCACTGCCACTGCAGGGTCAACCCAGGGTTTTTGTGCACAAGCCCTGGAGTGGGACTTGTGGTTCAGAAGTGAGTCAGCCACAGCTGACAAGAGTCTCAGTTGATGGTGGGGGAAGCCAGAGATTGCTGGAGTTGATAAGGATCTGGGCGAGCTGCCACATTTATAAACAAAACTGGAGAGGATACTTGGATTGTATGCATCATAAAATCGAGAAATGACTGCAAGCTCTGCTGGCAGCATCATGGGAGACTGATATCGTTCAAAATGGGTTTTAGTATGAATAAAAAGTAAAGTAGACCAGAACCAAAAATATGACACCCATGATAAATGGCTGCCCATTTATAAACATTATCGACCTTCACAAAGTACTGACTGCAAAACTGTTGCCATATTGCTGAGCATATGCTGTGGACACATAAGAGCTTCTGAACATTAGTCAGTATAGGCTAGTTTAACCCTGTACAACCTACTAAAATAAAAAACAAATCAAAAATACTGCAGATACCAGAAACTGGAAGAAAAAAATACTGTTGACACTGCGCAGGCAGGGATCATCTGCAGAGAGGAACGGGAGAAACTTACAGTAACATTTCAGATCCATGAGCTTTCCCTCTGTAGAAAGAATTGCACAATCTTTTGCTTTTCTGCCAATGAACTGCGTGGAGTCGAAGGCAGTTTACCTGCAAAAGGTCAGGGCTCTCAGATGTATGATAAGGATATTTCTTGCATTCAGGGTCCCACTCAAACTGCATGCTCTGCTTGAGGACCATCATTTGCTCAGCATTAGCACAAGCAGACAGCAAAGCTACCAAGATGACCACGTGGAAAAGGTGGCTTTAACACTGCACACTGGCCATAATGCAACTGCACTTTGAAATTCTGATGCACCACCAAGCAGTTTCTCCTGAATAGCTGACTCCCCATCCATCTGTACTCACAAGCGATGTGACAGTAATGCATCTGCAATCATCACTCCGTGTGGGGCTTTCAATAAGTCCAGAGTAACTTCAATCTTCCCTGCTCAACAGGAATGCAGGAATCAAACATAAAGGCAGCATCCACCCTCACAATGCTGAAATGTTCAAGTGGTACAGCATTTGAGAGATTTTCCTTTTTTGGATAAGGTGGAGTAGGTGCAGAGAGAAATTCCACCTCCCTTCTTGCAAATTTTATCCATAATTAATCTCTCCAGAAAGGTGAGTAAATAAGTTCTGGAGAATGCAAATGCAGTGTGTGGGATAAATGAAATGGGTGTAATTAATTTTTTTTTAGGTATAAAAATACAGGAAAGATCAGAATAACAACTGCTAACCCCAAATTGTGATTACAGGGATTACTGGCAATAACCACTTTAGACAAGGACACAAATGCAGTCACATAATTCTTCCCATTTGCAACCAGACATCCTGTCTAAATGAACCAATGTTTATTACAATAAATTCTATCCGAGCAAAGGCAATAAGACAAGAGCAGAAGTAGGCCATTCAGTCCATTGAGTTCTATCATTCAATGAGATCATGGCTGACCTGATAATACACACCTTTACTTTCCCCCATAACCCTCGATCTCCTTATTGATTAAAAATCTGTCCATCTCAGCCTTAAATGTACTTGATGACCAAGCCTCAACAGCCCTCTATGATGAAGAATTCCACAGATTCACAACCCTCAGAAGAAATTCCTCATCTCTGCTTTAAATTCGAGACCCCTTATTCTGAGATTGAGCTTTGGTCCAAGACTCCCACAACCTTTCCGCATTTACCCTGTCAAATCCTTTAAGAGTCTCGTATGTTTCAATATGGTCACCTCTCTTTCTTCAATATTCCAACGAGTATAGGTCAATCTACCCAACCTCTCCTCATAAGACAGTCCTTCCATAGGTGGTATCAACCTAGTGAACTTTCTCTGGATTGCCTCCAATGCCAGCACATATTTTCTTAGATAAGGGGCCCAAACCTGTTCACAATACTCCAGCTGTGATGTGGCCAGTACCTTGTATAGTTTTAGCAAAACCTCCAGTCAGACACAAATTTAGAACAAACATTTCAATTCAAGCCCTTCACTGTTTCACACATTAACTATTTGTTTTAGAACTATGTGCAGTTAAATTATGGGGTGGCTCCCATCACAGTTAAAACACAGCACACTCTTGAACCAATCCTCAGAAGTGTGTTGTCCCCTACAACGCCCTTCACAGCTCACAGAAATATTCACACGTCATTAGCTGCTGGTGGCTGTATCAAAATATCCACAAGCAACACTGAAAAGCAATCAGATTCAGTATTGCTACACTGTTGCAGCAGAAGCAATGCTCCACAAATACAAATGCTGTGAGGAGATGTTCTAATAAACACTAGCTTCTCATGAATAACTAATAAATGGGGTGAGAGATAGTAGGAACTGCAGATGCTGGAGAATCTGAGATAACAAGGT